GAACTACATCGTAAGGCCCTGTCTCAAAAAGAAAAGAGAAGCTTTAATTCCGGCACTCAGAACGCAGAGGAAGGTGATCTCTGTGAGATCGAGGCCAGCCTGATCTACACAGTGAGTTCCAGGCCAGCTGGGGTTACAGGGAGACCCTGCCTCAAAAAAATAAATAAAAGGGGCTGGCTTGGTGCGCACGCCTTTAATCCCAGCACTCTGGAGGCAGAGGCAGGTGCATCTCTGTGAGTTCAAGGGCAGCCTGGTCTACATATCGAGTTCCAGGCCAGCTGGGGCTACAGGAGACCCTGTCTCAAGAGAGACCAAAAAATAATAAATAAATAAATAAATAAATAGAGAGATAGAGACAGAAACAGAGAGAGACAGAGCAATTGGCACATGTTTACCTCCCATGCACTTTCTCTAGAAGGTCTTAGACGATACAATTGACCAAAATAAGAAGGGAAAATTATCTTGGATTTAAGCATATACACAAAAATACAGCAAAGGTTTTTAAATCTTTTGGAAAGGCTGGCATGGTGGCAGCACTCAGGAGGCAGAGGTAGCCAGATCTCTGTGAGTTCAAGGCCAACCTGGTCTACACAGTGAGTTCCAGGCCAGCTGGGATGCTAGGGAAACCCTGCCTCAAAACAAAACAAAACAAAACAAAACAAAACAAAACAAAACAAAAACCTTTTGAAGCTTTGTAGGAGAAACTAGCCAAGAGTATGCAGGGAACAACAACAAAAGAAAACCAAAACCATGAGGCTGCCTAGTGTGGTGGCTCACACCTATAACCTAGGTGAGGCAGGAGTGCTGTGAGCTTGATGCCAGCCTGGGCTACATAGTGAGTAGCAAGCAAGCTTGGGCTACAGAGTGAGATCTTGTCAAAAAATGAACAAGGACTAGAGTGCAGCTCAGTTGGCAGAGAGCTGCCTAACATGCAGAAGCCCTGGCTTCCGTCCCTAGCACCACATAAAACTAGATGTGATAGCAAACAGCTGGAACCCCAGAACTCTGGAGGTAGAGGAAGGAGCAAAAGATGTTCAAGGTTATTGTTGGCTACATACTGAGTTTGAGAGTTTGAGGCCAGCCTGACCTACATGAGATCCTATCTCAACACACATACCACTACCATCGAAAGGCAAGCGGCTATCACATACTTGGACACTTAGGATATGATGAAGTTCAGAATGATGCTTTTAAAAAAGTATACATGGAGGGGCTGGAGAGATGGCTCAGCAGTCAAGAACACTGGTTGTTCTTGCAGAAGACCTGGGTTCGAATCCCAGCACCCACATAGCAGCTAACAACTGTCTGTAACTCCAGTTCCAGGGAATCCAACAGCCTCTTCTGTTTTCTGTGGGCATTGCATGACATGGGTGCACTTACCTATATATAGGCAATACACTCATACATATAAAAAAAATAATATTAAAAAAAAAACCAAAAAACAAAAAACAGCAAAAAGAAGTCAAAACCAAAAGTTAAAAAGTCTCCCAATAGCCGGGTGTGGTGGCACACGCCTTCAATTCCAGCACTCGGGAGGCAGAAGCAGGTGGATCTCTGTGAGTTCGAGGCCAGCCTGGTCTACATAGTGAGTTCCAGGACAGCTGGGGCTACAGGGAAACCCTGTCTCAAAAATACCTAAAAAAAAAAAAGAAAAAGTCTCCCAATCAAGACTGCTAAAAAAAAAAAAAAAAAAAAAAGTATACATGGAGTTGGAGAGATGGCTCAGTGGTTAAGAGTACTGGCTGCTCTTGCAGAGGACCTGGGTTCGGTTCCCAGCACCCACATGGCAGCTAACAACTATCTGTAATTCCAGTTCCAAGGGATCCAACACCCTCTTCTGACCTCTTCAGGCATTGCACAACATGGGTGCACTTATATACTTGCAGACAATACACTCATACACATAAAATAAAAATAATTATATTTTTTAAAGTATCCAGAGGAGAAAAGGTAGTATGCTTTTTGTCCTATCAACTGCTTTTAGCCACTTCTACAGACAGAACTCAAGAGCCTGTCTTGATAATGAAGTCACAGGACCCTTTCTCTTCCCTGAGGGTGGGTTATGGATAAAATATAAAAGGCATAAGTCAGGTGGTACATGCCTATGATCCCAGTACTCAGGAGGACTGTGTGTTGGAAGTTATCCTGGGCTCATCTCAGAAAAGAAACAAAGATAGAAATAAAAAGAACTAAAAGGGGGCTGGAGAAATGGATCAGTGGTTAAGAATACTGGTTGTTCTTGCAGAAGAGCTGTGTTCAAATCCCAGAACCCACATGGTGGCTAACAACCATGTTACTCCAGTTCCAGGCAATCCGATGCCCTCTTCTGTCCTCCACAGGCACTGCATGACATGCAGGCATAACACTCATACACGTAAAATAAATTTTTTTTTTTTTTGGTCTTTTTGAGACAGGGTCTTCCTATGGCCCCAGCTGTCCTGGAACTCACTATGTAGACCAGGCTGGGCTTGAACTCAGAGATCCGCCTGCCTCTGCCTCCCAAATGCTGGGATTAAAGGTGTGCGCCACCATGCCCGGCCACATTTTTTAAAAAAATTTATTATTTTTATTTATTTTTTATTTTTTTAGTATGTTTTTGAGACAGGGTCTCCCTGTAGCCCCAGCTGTCCTGGAACTCACTATGTAGACCAGGCTGGCCTTGAACTCAGAGTTTTTAAATTTATTTTGTCAGGCAAAATAAAAAAACCTGCCCAGCTGGTGGTGCACGCCTTTAATCCCAGCACTCGGGAGGCAGAGGCAGGCGGATCTCTGAGTTCAAGGCCAGCCTGGAAAAGTGGAAAAGTTCATGTGACCAGATGAACAATTAAAAGCCAAAGATGTAAACAATTTAGGTATTAATAATCAAGACTTCAAGTTTGACATGTGGGTGAGGCTAACCTGTAGAAATGGTGATACTCGTGATTAAAGTATCAGAGCTCAGCAATTATTCCGGTTACAACTTTGGGGTTAGTTACTGATGAGGATGAGTTTGGTACAGATACACAGGTTTCTGTAAGAGGCCTGTCATATCAGATAGCAAAGGTGGTTGCACAGAATGTATAAACAGTGAAGGATATCAGTTTTAAAAACCAACACACCTAACCACTATAGGAATGGCTTCTTATGCCCTCCACTTTTTAATTTTCTCCTCCCCTCTTCCTCCTTGTTTTTCTCCTGTTGGAGCCCCTCCGTTTTTAGGATCAGCTTTAGGTACCCTGCTATTTCTCCCACAATCCTCAACATCCACCCTTTATCCTGGTATAACCTGTTTAGACATGCTACAACTCATGCCCTGTTCATGTGTCTGCCAAAACCCTTCTAGCCCACCTAAATCCGTTTCTCAAACAGTTCAAGAACACAATAGCCAGTTTCCTTCTACCTAGCAGCTCATCAGACTACACACACACACACACACACACACACACACACACACCTGTCTCTTTTAGGCCCAGGCGCTGTCCTCACTTATCTTAACCCTTTCAGAATCAACAATGCCCTGCTTGGCTATAACTTCTCTTTGGCTTTCAATTTGCCTCCAGTCTGTCTCTCTTCTTTAATTCTTCATCCACCCCATTCCCTGGGACCGTCTCCTGTTATTCTAGATTCCTGGATTCTCTTTCTCTTCCATAGAAACAGATTCAAAAATAGTATCTTCCATTTCATCCAAGATAGGCCTGTCAATATCCACCCCGTCCTCTACCCCTTCCGGTTCATTTCCTTCTTCCACACTTTCAGAAGGGATTTCCATCTCCTGATTTGTAAATTCCATCACACTTTCGCCATCAGCAACGGTCATCACTCTTTCAGTGTCCTCATCGGCTATGCTCTCAGTTCTTGAAGGCGCCTCCAGGCTCTTCCCAGTGGCGTTCAGTTCCACAGAACTTGACTTCTGTTTACCTCCAAGGGTTCTCAACTTTTTCCCACCAATCCCCAGCTTCTCTCCACTGGACCTCAACCCGTCTCTACTCAACCTCCGTTTCTCTTCGCTTGGCCTCCTCTTCTCTCTGATGGACCCCTGCCTCTCTTCACTGCCTACTACCTTTTCTTTGGTCCACCACCTTCTCTCCAACGAACCCTTCTCTCCCCACTGTTCACCACCTTCTCTTGGATGGACCCCCGCCTCTCTCCACTGTCCACCTTCTCTCCGATGGACACCCGTCTCTCTCTCTTGTATACCAACTTCTCTCCACTCGACCTCGACTTCCCACTCTGCCTCGGCCGATCCCCTCTGGACCTCAAGTCCCCTCCAGTGATCCCCAATTTGTGCTTGGACGTCGATGTTTCTTCATCACCCCTCTCAGGCTTGTGGGTCATCTCTGCACCCTTAGATTTGCGTTGGCCTTGCTGTCCCCAAATCTGCTTGGGCTGTCAGTCCCCAAATTTGCTGGATCCTGTGTGGTCCTGATTGCACCGTCCAGGAGCCTGGAGTCCAGCCTCTCCTGATACTAGCCCGACCGGTCCTTCAAGGCCTTCTTCCCCACACCCTCCAGTTTCCAGTACTCAGATTCCAACTTTGGACTTTTGCGCATTTCTGTCCAGGAGCTCCACTCGCTTCCCAATCACGACGAGCCCGTGCCAGGGAGCCCATACCTTTCTCTCGCACCTGTGCCTTCCTGCAGTACCGCTCAGGCAGCGATGGGCGGCGGACACAGGGCTTGCTCTGAACGTCCCGCACCGGGGCCTTGCTGCGTCCCCGCAGCCCACTAAATTGCTTACTCCGCCCCTTCAGGCCGGGATGCGAGAACCTGACCGAACCCGGCTTCTCCACGAACATTTCCACCCGCCCTCACCCCTATCTCACCGGCCCCATTCGGGATCCCCATTCCCCCGACCTTCCCTCCTCCCGCCTCCCCTGCCCGCCCACCCCTTGGTGGGCGGAAAGCGGCGCTAGTGCGCATGCGCAGGACGCGCGCGCGCCCGTTAGAAGGCGGGACCCGGAACGGCCGCGTCGGGGGCCGGGGGGCCGGGGGGCGGCAGCAGGGGAAGGGGAATCCCGCTCATGACCTCCGTGACCCCAGACCCCCAGACCTCAGGCCCAACAACCTCGCGGTTCTGGGACCCCGCTCTCTAGGGCCTGGCTGTTGCCGCCTAGAAGCTAGGCGCAAGATTGACAGGCTGCACAGCCAATGGAGTCTCGCGTGGTAGACCTGGTGTCCAATCAGAGAGCAGCTACGGACTCAGGGCTAGGATCTACCCCCTGACGCTCAAGGACCGCGGGGCCGGGAGGTGGAGAGCATCAACGTCAGCTGATAGGGTCCGAGCACCAGGAGTGCGCGCGCCGGCAGTGGCGGTGAGCCTGGTGTGCTGCAGCCGAGGAGCATCATGGAGGAGCATCCTCAGGAGGCTGAGAAAGACAGTAAGGTAAAGGAAGGATGTAAACCCCTTCTAACCTCCACCTCGCTCCATTATACCATACCAAGCAGGGAGAGAGACCCGAGCCAGGAATGAATGGGGCGCTTCTGTGGCCCCTGCGTAGGGACAGGTTGAGGATGCCTGGAGACGTGGAATTTCACCTCTGCCTGAACACATGGAAAAGGACAGGTCAGTGTCCTTCCTCCCCGCCCCAGGACCACCTCGCGCTGGCTTGATGGGGGAAGGTGTCATGTAAGGGATGGAGAACGGTGGGGGAATCCTCCTGAGCGTACAGCCTCACTTGTGTTGTGTTCGTATATTCGTAAAACCATTCATGCTTCATCTTTCCCTTTCAATAAGTAGTAATGGAGCATCCACGTTGTGTTAGGACACCTTTGGGGTAGGGGTTGAAGGCTGTGGTGCGCTGGGGCAGAGGAAGAGGATAGAACAGGTTCATTCTAGAAGTCACATTTCTCTCCAGCAGAGTAGATCTAAGGAGATGGACATTAGGAAAGAGAGCAGGAACTAGGTGCCCACTGCACCAACGAGCCAGACTTGCGTGTGTTAGGGGATGGGGAATCAGGACAGAGTGTCAGAGAATCCAGGAAGGGTAGTATGGGATTCAGGTGGAACTTGAGAGATGAGAGGACCTGAGAGAAAAAAAAAAAAATCATAAAGCAGCAAGTCTCTGGTTCTGTGGTTATGTATGTTCATATTTGTGGTCAAAATAGAATACATACATATACACACACACACACACACACACACACACACACACAGAGCCAGTCCAGGTGGCACACACCTTTAATTCCACCACAGGAAGGCAGAGGCAGCTGGATCTCTGTGGCTCTGAGGCCAAACTGGTCTACATAGTGAGTTCTAGGCCAGCCAGGGTCTCATACTGAGACCCTGTTTCAGTTTTAAAAAGAAAAATAAGCCGGCCATGGTGGCGCAAGCCTTTAATCCCATTACTTGGGAGGCAAAGGCAGGCGGATCTTTGTGAGTTCAAGGCTAGCCTGGTCTACATAACGAGTTCCAGGACAGCTGGGGCTACTGGGAGACCCTGTCTCAAAAAGACAAAAAAAAAAAAAAAAAAAAAAAAGAGACATTAAAAGGAAGGGCTTGAAAAGAGTGATTTAATGGTACAGTGCTTGCCTAGCAGGCACAAAGCCCTGGATTTAATCCTCCACAGTACAAAAATAATCAATAAGACCAATAATACCAAATATGAGTAAAATATAGAGGAGAAGATGAAGTAATATAAATATTTTATTAATCTTATCAAAAAATAAGACTTCAGCATAAAGAAATGAAATATATATACATATGGGTCAGATACATTGGGGCTGAAGAGATGGCTCAGCAGTTAAGAGCATTGGCTGCTCTTGCAGAGGACCTAAGTTTAGTTCCCAGCACCCACATCGCAGCTAATAACTATCCTTAACTCCAGCTCCAAGGAATCCAACACCCTCTACTGACCTCTGCAGGCATTGCATGCATGAGTGTACTTCCATACATGCAGGCAAAACACTGGTACACATAAAATAAAAATAAATCAGAAAAATTTTCAAGAGTGCTTCTATCATGAACACCAGAGATCAGATCCGATCAAGCGTGCACATGGGGTGGCTTACAACACCTGTAACTCCAGCTTCAAGGGGTCAAATGCCCTTTTCTGGTCTACACACACACACACACACACACACACACACACACACACGAGCACACAGATACACATATAAATAATAAAAATTAAAATAAATATACAAAATTTAAGAAGAATGATACACACAGCATGGTAGCATAGGCATGCAATCCCAGCACTTAGGAGGCTGAGGCAGGAGGATCATTGAGAGTTCATGGCCAACCTGAGCTACAGTGAGTCTGACCTACATTGTGATACCCTGTCTCAAAAGAAGATGGCCCAGTAGGTAAAGCATTTGACATGCAAGGGTTAAAACAGGAGCTGGGATGCCCAGAACACACATAAAGGCTGGTGGGCATGGTTGGCACCTGTAAGCCTGGCTTATGGAGGGAGGAGAGGCAATCCCCTAGAGCGAGTGGCTAGTAAAACTAGCTGAAGCAGGAAGCTCTGGGCACAACTGAGAGACTTCAACCTCAGGCCTCCATATGCACTTGCAATAATACTTGGGGATATGCATACACACATCCACATATACCATACACACATCCATGTGCCAAAAAAAGGGGACAAAAAAGAATATTAAAACTAAGACAGTGAGTTTGTAGTCTTCTAGATGGCTAATTTCATTCATTTTGAATGAACTAAATATTTCAACTAAAAATCAAGCACTCCAGCTGGGCATGGTGACTCAAGCTGATGCAGGAGGATTACCACACATATGAAGCCAACCTGGACTGCACAGGGAGACTCTATCTCACCACCACCAAAAAACCTGACTGTGGTGGCACAAGCCTTTAATCCAAGCACTTGGGAGGCAGAGGCAGGCACATCTCAGAGTTCTAAGGCCAGCCTAGTCTACATAGTGAGTTTCAGGCCAGCTGGCTACCAGACTGATGACCTGAGTTCAGTCCCTAGTTATCTACCTGGTGGAAGGAAGGAGCTGACTCCTGAAAGTTGTCCCTGACCTCCACATGTGGGCTGTGACATGTGTGTGCACTCCCATACACATATGCACAGACAGAAAGACAGACAGACAGACAGACAGACACACACACACACACTAAGTAATGGGAAATGACAGTGTGTGTCTGTAATCCCAGTGCCCAGAAGGGTGAGGCAAGAGGATCACCCCTGAAGTTGAGGCCAGCCAGGGCTACATAATGAGTTCCAGATCACCCTACAGAGAGACCTTGCAAAACGGTGGCCTTATCTCAAAACACAAAACAAAACCAAAAAATAGTGTCTACATAAACAAATTTAGTCCAAATAAATTAGATAATTTTCAGGAATTAGACAAATTCCTCAAAAAATGAAACTTTAACAAATCTGCAATAAGAAGTAAAAAAAAAGAAAAAAAAATCTGTGTAATCATGCTTATAGGAATTGAGTCTATAATTTAAAACTTTTCCAAAATAATCTCTAGGTACAGATAAAATTTATAGGTGGATTCCTTGAGGCATTAAAGGAGGAAAACCTCTTTTATTACTCTTTATTTATTTATTTATGTGTATATGTGTGCCGGCAAATGTGGGCCAAGGCTTACGTGTGAGGGTCGGAGGACAATTTGCTGGACCTGGTTCTCCTTCCATTATATGGGTCCTGGGGATCAAAATCAGGTGGTCAGTCATGCTGACAAGGGCCTTTACCCACTGAACCTCTTGCTGGCCAGAACTATCTTTCTTTAAGGTTTATATTCATTTATTTATTTATTTTTATTTTATGTGTATAAGTGTTTTGCCTCATGTATGTAGGTGCACCATGTGCATTCAATGCTCAGGGAGGCCAGAAGAGAGCATCAGATCCCCTGAAACTGGAGTTATGGACAGATATTAGCTACCATGTGGGTGCTGAGAACAGAACCTGGGTCCCCTGCAAGATTAGCCAGTGCTCTTAACCACTGAGCCATCTCTCCAGCCCCAATGTGCATAATTTTAAAATTTCCATTTGAGGGTCAGTGAGGTAGCTCAGTGGGTAAAAGCATTTACTTTACAAACCTGACCAACCTGAGTTGGTCCCATCATGGTGGAAGGAGAGAAGGGACTCTCCTAAGTTCTCCTTTGACCTCCACTTACCCCATGGCAGGTACTTCTACACTCTAATGCACATATAATAAAAAATAAATTTAATAATTTTTTTTTAATTTCCCACTTGAGGCCCGGCGTGGTGGCACATGCCTTTAATCCCAGCACTTGGGAGGCAGAGGCAGGCAGAACTCTGTGAGTTCAAGGCCAGCCTGGTCTATATAGTGAGTTCCAGGCCAGCTGGAGCTACAGGGAGACCCTGTCTCAAAAAAAGACCA